AGAAGCCATATCACAACAGCCAAAGTAGTGCAAAGAATCAACCCACTCACAACTGCAAGGATAATGAGATATTCTCTGTGGCAGCGCATATGGCGACACTTGCTCCCTAATGTATCAAAAACATCAGAAGATTATTTAATATCTAATTAAGGCACGTAGACTGGATAATGGTTATCTAAAATGTACTGCTTATGGAAAAATAAAAAGGGGACTGCAGAGTTGTTAGTCACATATCATCACCATATTATATCAGGAAAAGAGTTTGCTCCCACTTTTCAAAGTTACACTTGGTGAAGAAAAGCAATTAGAAATAAGTTGTTCTGCAATCACTTACCAGCATCAAGCATGCATAAAGAAGCATGAGTTGTATTGCATCTCTCAGCTATAAGGGGTGTAGTGCCATTGGTTATCGATGTACACAAATCCACTGACTTAAAGCCATAGCATGAGAAATTTTTGCAACTTGAGTCAAAAGTTGACTTAAGATCAAGACTCTCATTCCAGCTAGCTTCATGGTCAGACCATTTCCAACCTAAACCAGCAGTAGTATTAACGCTCTTTCCACCAACCCAGCATCCGTTACTATCATTGCCACAGAGCTTTTGGACAAAGTTCAGTTCTTCTGAAGATGCTATGGCAGCAAGGTTTCCTCCAAAACCGTTGCAGTAAATCTCTGATTCATCCCATTGCAAAGAGGTTGCATTATATTTGAAACACTTTTTCCCATTTGGGCTGCTAAACCAACCAGGATCACATCTTTCTGCTTGCAAAACAGTAGACAATAGTGTCAAACAGATGAGACATAATAACTAGAGTAGTTAAAAATCACAAATTACACTAAGAAATATCATTTTGACAGATCAAAATAAGTTTCAGTTACACTAGTGCTATAATTATACTTATTCTAACTTCTTAATTTATCTAAAAAGAAAAAAATAATACTCAATCTTTATTTATTAGCGAGGGGAAAAATAATACTCAAAACTTATCCAGACTTTCTCCTAGATAGTCACTCACACATTTTTCCTGCTTAACTTTCTTTTGCTCTTTTTTTATTTTATTTTTTACCAGGCCGGCTAGCGCAACTCGACTATTCCACCGAGTACTTGCTACCTCTCACTAGCACAGGTACCACGTAACTCTGCCCACCAAGACTTAGGTAGATGAGAAGAAATCACCTAGTATATTTTGTCTCTTCCATCTTTTCTAAAATTGAACTAGAACTAGAACAAGGTACTACCAGCTGACTCAAGGGCTTCTTCTAATTTTTGGAAATTCTATTGAGTGAGAAGCTCCTATGTTGCTTTCCCATGATAACATTCTTCTATCTCTCCCCACTTTTCTAGGACAAGGGATTGGGGATACATGGTAAAACAAGCTGAAAAAAGTATTGCAAATCAAATTCAAAAACATGACTAATATTTACATGAAAGATTCTTTTTTTTTTTTTTTTTTGGTAACCATGGTGTCTGGGCCAGCTTACGCGCACCTCGACTAATTCCATGGGATAGGATATTTCCCACCAGCAACGGGTAACAAGTAACTCTGTCCACCAAGACTTGGACAGATGGAAAGAAATCACCTAGTGTTTTTGTCTCCGCTGGATTTGAATCTGAGACCTTAGGTTCTCAAAACCACTTCATTGACTATTAGGCCATACACTTGGGTGCTTAAAAAAGAAGCTTATTTTTGCAAGCAAACAGAAGCCAAAAGAGATGTTCAAAAGGCATTAGATCTTAAATTCATTATGGACCATGAAACTTGGGTATTATTAACTTGTTTATATCTAATACCACAACTAAAGATGAATTTTCACTCTGAAAGTGTCTGTACCTTCATACTTAGATACGGGAGCCACTATGCATTGACAGTGAATGGACAGCCAAATGAATCATGCTTGATTTATATGATTGTGCTAGCAAGCATGGAATCAGCTTCAAAGAATTCATTTAGGATAAGGTTTCCAAGATCCGGAGACTGAAACATTAACCACAATTGGCTAACACTGTCATCTCAAACTAAGCTTAAGAAGGCCTAAGCACAATGCTTCCACCTGGCCATTAACAATTACAACAACTATAAGTTCACTTATTTTTCCCTTCCTCTGCCCATGTGTCCTATGAACCTGATAGCGGCAGCCATTATTTGGCCTCTGTGTTATGAATCGTGTATAACTCGAGATCAACTTAGGTTTGATGTTGATATTGTGTAAACTTCAGTTTTTATTAGTGGACTAGATAAAGAAGGCTAGTCCCTAGAAATGCCCGATACTTTAGTGTTGGGAACAAGTAAGACTAGAGAGACTAGAGGGACAAGTAATATTTGTATGGACTGGATGCATAAAGTCATATATAATGAAACATTATAAGAAAAATATAATTATAGATTTAACTCAATTATAGAGTCCGAAAGAATTCAGAGCCCTAAACAATATATTTGTATTAAAAAATTCATTAAATATATACAAATAGTAAATTTAGAACCCAGTTAGTAGCTCTCAAATCGCCGTTCTAAAATCCAGAAATCTTAGCTCCGCCTCTGATATTAGCAACAGCCAATTTATCAGTTCCAAATAAAATGACTGGAGAATAATAGTCACGAATTAAATCAAAATGATTACCATCATCATGACTTTGATTCTCAGAAGAAGGAGCTACATGTGCATCAACTGTCTTATTAGAGACCTGCGAATTCAAATTCACATAACTACATGAATTCCAACAACACATTCAGATACCCTTTTCTTGAACTTTAAAGAATCTGCAGGATTATTTTGCAATATAAAAATTAATAAATATGTGGGTTATTACTTACAGAAGTGGAAGCAGAGACCTGAAGCAGAAAACAAGAAAATAGAAGCAAAGGGAACTGTAAATCCATCAGAAGCTTAACAGCCATCACTTAATCTCACTGTTTAGCAAAACCTAGAATGATTTGAGTGTGGGGTTGGGCATTGTGGAAAATGGGTGGGTAGGGTTTTAGTAAGAGAGTAAGTGAAAGACTTCACATTTGGGAAATGGGAGAAGTTGAAACGTTGAGTGGTTAGTTGAATTTAGAGCGTTGGACTTTTGGAGAAGAGAAGTATTGTTCAGACAGGGTAGTTAATTCTCCCCTTATGTTTGTCCCCACCCCTTTTAATGACTTCGGTCAAATCGAAGCATCCATCTTTATTTCATCACGGAAAAAAAAATCCAACATTTTTTTTTTTTTTTTGGAGAGAATTCTTCAAAATAATTTGCATTTGAGAAACAAAGCAATCTGAATTCATAGTTGTTGTAAAGATCTACCTTTATTTATAAATGTTACTTAATATCTGTGTATTAAAATTATATTTAAGTTTCAATCTTTTTATTCTCTATTGTGTGTAAGGATTTTTGAATTTTGATAGGCATCAATGAAACTTTTATCTAATTATAATCTAAAATATGTTTAAAGTATAAATAGATATTTTTTATAAATTTTTCGTCTATTTTTAAAATTACTGTTTTTATAACAATCATTGAGTATAAGTTTAAAAAGTCCTTACTCTCTTCTGGGGTGATTGGTGAATTTTGTTTATAAGGAATATATTTTTGCGAAAAATATTGGGGAAAAAAAAAATTCATCACTATCTAAATATCGAAAATCTTTTTAAATGGATTATTGAAGAAAGCATAAGCGAAGAGAGTTATGCTTTTAAAGGTTTTGTTGCTATAAAATGACTTCTTTTCTAAAAAATAACTTCAGTATTCTCAATTGTGTAACAAATGTTGGAGTATTAATTGCTATTAAAAAATATAATATGAGCAAATTATTTTATTTTAATTTCTTTCTTTTTTAAGAAAAAATTATATTATCAGGGAAAATATATTTACATGATGATTAAAAACCCCTTAAGTTGGACATACAACCCCAACTTTAGTTAAGCAAACTCTACACCTTACTATCAAGTTCTACCGAACTACCACCAGTAACTAACAGAGATCTACAATTTATATTAATTAGCACCTTAAACCTACTTCAACTAATTAGGGATAAAAGTAAGAATTTACAAAGCTCCAACCAATCTTGGTTTGCAATTGCCTCTGCAATGTATGTCTTGGATAATTGACTTCACTATTAGGGCCACATCTCTACTTTTATTTTGGAAAATCCTTTGATTCCTCTTCTGCCACACATGATATATGCCACTCTGTAGATTTCTGCTTTAGCAAAATTGCCATATGCATGAGCTCTGACCCATTCTATCACATCTTGCCACCTTAAAGCACTCCTTGTTATGACCAGCTATTGAAGAATTATTTGCCACATAGTTGATGCCACAGTACACTAGAAGAACAGGTGTTGTATACTTTCATCCATATTGGTACATAGCGGACACAATGGATTACAATTAACCCACCATCTTGTTAACCTATCTTTCGTAGCTAATCTACCATTAAGTGCTAGATACTGGATAAACAACCATCTAGGACTTTCTTGAATGTTGCACATCAATTATCTCCAGTGCACCTTGGAAAAATCATTTCCTTAACCATATATAAACTATCCTATTTGAGAACACTTCCAGTTCCAATAGTTGCTCCAGAGTTAGTCGTGTTCCTTCCAAATACTTCTTTGCATGTAGTATCCTTTGAGTGAGCCACGACGCATGTGTTGTGCTTATCTCCCAGGCTGCTTTCCCTTTACTGTGTCTTTCTTTTTTCATAGGTTCCAAAAATGCTTTAGGATAGCTACTCTATTCCAGGTAAAGATGTTTGTGATGTTAAGGCCTCCAGCTGCCTTTGGGAGGCAGAGCTTTTCCCAGGCTATTAGTGCCCTTTTGGAACATTCTACATTACCAGTCCAAAGGAACCTCCTACACGCAGCTTCAATAACATGCACAATCTTCTTTGGTAAAATAAAAACTTGTGACAAGAAGTTTTGGATGGCAATCAATACAGTTCTGATCAGTTGCAATCTGCCAGAGTATGATAGGACTTTTGATGTCCAAGTAGTTATTCTCCCTAGCATCTTGTCGATCAATGGTTGACACTGCTTATGGATAATCTTTTAGAGCTCAAGGGAACTCCAAGATATCTTAATGGTAGTGTTCCAGTAGGAAAGCCTAGAAGCTGAGTAATCTCTAGCTGAACATTAGCTGGGACACCATCAAAATTTATGGAACTCTTTCCCTGACTAGCCACCATGCCTGAAGCCATGGAAAACTTCTGAAAGCATTCAAATACCGTTTGAGTAGATAGTACATCACCTCTACAGAACAGCAGTAAATCATCAACAAATCCTAGTTGGATGATATTCAGTTTTGCACATCTCGGATGAAAATTGAAGTCTGGCTTGTCTTTTAGAGATTTAAGTCTCCTTCTAAGGTACTCCATTACTAGTACGAAGAGATAAGTTGAAAGTGGATCACCCTGTCTCATTCCTCTTTTAGCAGCAAAGGGTACAAAGTGTTTGTCATTTATGAAAATTGAATAGGAGACAATTGAAACACAGGCCATAATCCACTTTACAAAGATGGTAGGGAAATTTAGACCTTCAAGAACTTGTTCTAAGAATACTCATTCCATTGAGTCATAGGCGTTTTGCATGTCAATATTGAGCATGCATCTAGGTGACACCCCTTTTCGGCCATAACCTTTTACTAGCTCGTGACTGAGGATTATGTTATCTGTTAGGACTCTTCCAGGTACAAATGCAGGTTGACAATTATTAATTAGGGCATCAATGGTTCCTTGTATTCTACGAGTGAGCATCTTAGAGATTATTTTATAGATAATGGTACAGCATGATATAGGTCTATACTCCTTAATCGAGGAGGGGCTCTTAACCTTAGTAACTAGGGTCACTGAAGTGCAGTTGATAGGCTTGTACATTTTTGAGGTTTCAAAGAAGTTCTTTATATAATTTGTGACCTCAGTACCAATTATAGGCCAAGCCTTTTTGAAAAAATATGAGTTGAATCCATCTATCACGGGTGCTTTCAAATCATCAATGCTCTATAGTGCTTGATAAACCTATTCTCTTGAGAAAGGCTGAATGAGTTGTTTCTGTTGATCTCTATTCAAAGTTGGGCCCTCTGTTGTAGCTCAAGTTGTATGGCTGGTAGTGAAGAACTATTAGTGCCCAGTAAGTTCTTATAGAATTGTAGGATTCCATGTTGGCAAAATATATAAAGACCTCATTAAACTTGTCTAGAAAAATAGTTTGAACACTTAACTAAACGGACGTTCCTTTAACCGCATAAACATATTTCAAGTGAATTATTTTCCCTCCTGAAACACTAATATCACTTTCACAACATGAGATGCTTTACACGCGCACCATGCCAATGCCACATCAGAAAAAGCAGGATTTGCTTCACGATTGTGTTTCAAAATTAAAAGGCGTAATACATCTGGAGACACTTAAAGTTGGCACCATCTTTCATTTAGACACCATCTCAGTTGATTGAAACCGAAGTAGGACCATATTCTTCATTTGAAGTCAAAACACCATTAATGGGGTCTTTAAGAAAGCTTGAAAGTTTAAAATGGGTTACTTGATTTGATGAAAAATTGAGAAATTAATATTGGGGTTGTCTTCAAGTTTTGGTAGGGAATCTTTAGTTGAAGTTATAACAAATTTGGAGAAGTTTCTCTTGAAATTTTGGATTAAAATCGTGGTTGGAACAATAATAGACATAAAGATAGTGAAGAACACCAATGTGCCCTTTTTTTCTTTTCTTTTGTTAATAATGTGTCATTTTCTGATTTGGTATAAATTAAAGTTTTTTTTTCCTTTTTGAGAATGTCATTTTCTGATTGGATATATGCTCTTTTTTTATTGTCATTCGCCGCGTCAGTTTACGTGTCTAAATGAAAGATAATGCCAACTTTAAGTGTCTCGTATGTATTACGCCAAATTAAAAAGCATGAAAAGCAGAATCCCTTTATTCTTTCCCTCTTAATCTTCAATATTTGTGATGATTAAAGCATGTTATTTCTTCTCTTTAACGTTATTTTCTGTCACTTTAAAGGCCATGAAGAACCGAGGACTTAAAATCGGAAAAACAAATTTGTTGGGTTTATTGTTGGTTCGAATCCGGTATGCTTGAGCAATAGCTACTAAAATTCATTTGTAATATTGGTTGAAGGTTGAAAATGTGATTACACACTCATGGCGGTGAAGAATCCAGCAAACACCATTATCGATTAATGGAGCTACGAAATTTTAAACTTAAATCTAAGATTTTGGAGTCTATTTTGAGTGGGTGTTGCTGAATTTTGTTGGGTCCAATTTATGGAGTTTATATCTAAAATTTGGGGCTATTTGGTGAAGCATTTTGGTGGTTCTGAGTTGATTTTTATGGGGAAATCTGTTGTTGCACTATCTGTGAGGAAGGATAAGGGGTGAGGAAGAAGGAGAAAGAAGATGGGGCCATCTGCTTTTTTCTTTTTGTTAATTGTGGTTTGGGGGGGGGGGGGGGGGGTAGGGGGAATAATTCACTTGAAATGTGTTTAGGGGTAAAGGAACGCCCATTTAGTTTAAGTATTCAAACCTGTTTTCTGGACAAGTTTAAAGGGGTCTTTATGTATTTTGCCTTTCATCTTCTATCTCTTTATCTGTGCCCTCCTATGCTTCATGCTAGCAAAGAAATAGGTTGTATTTGAATCTCCCAACTTGAGCCATTTTACTCTAGACTTTTGTTTATTGATACTCTCCTCTATTAAGTCCCATTTTTCAAGTTCCAACTTTAGCTCTCTTTCCATCTCAAACATGTCAGCATTATGACCATAATCTCTCATCTGCTTTTGCACTTCTTTCAAATTATTTCTTATGCTCTGTGTCTTTTTTGTCACCCCCACAAATTCTTTCATGCTCGGTGTCTTCATGATCTACTTAGACTTGTTTCAATTTGAACCACACTCCATACATTTCATATGTATTATTACTATTTCAGGCCTCTGTAATTAGCTCATCGAATTTAGAAATCTGAATGGTTTTGTTCCCTTCCTCTTCTGGTTCCCTAACTCAATAATTAATAGAGAGTGATCTGAGAAATATGGCTCAAGTACATGCACAGGTACATGGGGCATAATAGTCATCCATATAGCATTGATCAAAGCTCTGTCGATTTTACTGTAGACATGGCTATTGGTCCAAGTAAAATTCCTACCAGTTGTTTGCAATTCATGTATACCAGTGTCATCTGTGAATTCTCTGAAATCCCTTATTTCATTGTCATGAACCTCAATGTCATTCTGTCTTTTACATATAGGATGGCATTGAAGTCTCCCATAATCAGCCAGGCATCTTGCATTCCGCTTTCCAAAGTTCTTAGATGAGTCCGTAGTTCCTTCCTATCGTGTATTGTATGCAGGGCCAGCCCATAAACAGCTGAGAATTGGAATTCGACATTAGCTTTAAGGCAGGTGACACCAATCTAAATGTATTGCATATGGATGTTTAGTATATTGACTGTGACAATATTAGGATCACATATGATCCATATGCGACCCCTAGTATCCGCAAATGCATTGGTTATCCAGCCCTATCCAGGTGCCACTTTATTTACTAATTGGGCAGATTTACTTGCATTTACCTTGTGCCCAATAATAGCTAACAAACTAACTTTATTCTCTTTAATAAATACCTTTAACTCCTTTTGTTTAGATGTTTATTTAGTCCCTTACCATTCCATGCAACTACTTTCATCTTGTTAAGGAGAAGGGTTGGTTATTGTCATCTTCACCTATTCTGCTGTCATGCTTCCTCTGATTGCCACTGGTTTGAGACAAGTTGATGACTTGGGATTCTCTCTTTTTCCAACAAACTTAGCCTTGCTTCCTGTTCCTCTGAATGGTGAGATTATTTCTGTTTTCATTAAGAGGGGTGAAGCCATTTTTGGTGCTAACATTCCCTTCATTGATATCTTTTTTTGACTTGGCAACAGTTTTAGCCTTCACTTCTATCCATCCATCAAGTTGTGCTTTTTGTTGGTGTTCTTTCTGCTCAATGTGCCCTTTTTTTGTAGCTAGTTCATTCACCTAATTATCTACCATATCTTTTTGTGTCCTCTCTTTGTGCTGCAAGATTTGTACTACTCTTCGGTTCCTTCTTCTATGTTACTGTACTGTGGTTGCTAAGCTAGGAACTTTTTTTTGTTTTTTTGCAATTGTGCCCAATCAGTAGACATGTCTCACAAAACTCTGGTTCCCATTCATATGCTACCTCTTGATCAAATATTTCTCCAGCGGGGCTTTGGACCTTGATTACTTTAGGAAGTGGTTTGGTAATGTCCATATCTATAAGAACTCTCGCATATGATATTCGAGCAATGTTCGATGTGCAATCATCAGCATACAAAGGAGTACCCAAGCCACTACTTATTTTACTTAAAGACGTCATTTCCCAACAGTTTAGAGGAAGGCTTGGAAAATTAACCCACAATGGAACAATTTTTTTAGATGAAAAGAAAATAAGTTTTATTGAAGACCTCAACACTTCAACACTTTATTGTGAAACTTGAACTCTGTTGTCCATGGTTTCATTATAACATATCTATTATTAATCATATTGGATCCTGAAAATAGTATCTGATCCCCTTTCTCAATGCTTTGAAATCAGATGACAAAATAGTCATCGTTGTGGTAGTATATCTGGGGCTTAGCTTCCAATTTTCATTGTGCTGCGAGGAATCTCTCCACTGCTCCAATCGATAGGGAATTACCAATGACATATAGGATAATTGCCATTTTTCACTTCTAATTTTCTTCTGCTATATCCTCCCGTTCTAGTTTAACTACCTTTTGGCCTTCTTGAAAAAATAATATATTGCAGGGGCATTCCTTTTGAGGCCAATTTACTCCCAGCGACTACGCTTGCCCAAGTTTGGTTTCCACCATTACCAGATTGTTTCTCTGTATTTACCTGAGCATCACTTGTTTCCTTTGCCATCAATTTTTCAATTGTATTCCCTGGAGTATGCACATGTTTGGGACTAGATTGGTATCCAGTATTGTTTGTGCCAATAGGGTCTTGACCCCCTCTGCTACTCCCACCAATGTCGTTATTGTTCATCAGAGTCGTTTGTCGCCTAGGGTTGTTCGTATTTTCAAAAATTCCAGCTATAATTGCAGGTTGCCTTTGTTTGACCAAAAAGTATAAAACCCTTTTTGTCGAACTAATTTTTAGTAATATAGAAGGTAAATCTTAGCCAAACATAATTAATCTCATATCCAAACATACAGAGTGCGAAAATAACAGAAGAATAAGAGCGTGTAATATTTTTTTTAACGTAATAATTGTACATCAAATATGGGGGATGAGCTTACATCTATGGCAGATTTGCATCCTAATCATGGGAGCAAGGAAGGGGAAGAAAATGAACTGTTGACGGCGAACAGATTCCTCTTGTTGACTCTACCATGGTATCTACATGGAAAATTCTCCCCTCCCCCCCCCCTCCCTCCCTCTTTTTAACGTAAAGAGGGAGCGTGTAATATTTTTTAACGTAATA